GCGCTCTCAAGCCACAGCCCCACGCGATGGCCCTCCACGTCGCGCGGGGGCTGTTTGCGTTTAATCAGGGACCCGCGGCCCGCCCACGCCGTGCCGCGCCGCCTGCGATCGAAAGCTCCGCGCGCAGCGTTTGTGACCACAAGTTAAGGCCGCGTGCATGTCAGCGCATTAGAAATATTAATCAAAGTAAAGCATTTTGAAACCCTAATTTGTAGAAAACTTTGATACAGATGTTAATTATAATTATGGCACAGTATAATAGAGCTTTTTGAAAATTTTTATACCAGTTTCACTTAAGTATCTTAGTGTATTGTTGGTTATTAATTTTATTTTAGTTAATTACGACTTTTAACTTTTTTATTTTTCTCTTAAACGAATTTAATTTGTGTTCTATGAAAATACAGAGAAGTAGATTAATAAGATTTGTCATGATTTTAGACCTATGCTATTATTTAAATAATATTGTACTACGCAATAATTTAGTTAATGTTTTTTGTGAATGTTTTGTAAAAATATGTACTTATATGGAATATTATACATATAAAACACACATAATTTTGTTCAGAAAACATTGCCAAATTATTTTACATAAAAATTGAAAGAGAAAAATTATTCACGCACATGTTTCCTTAAGCATCAAACGAAAAATAGACGACCTGAATTCAATATGTAATCATAATATCTACGTTGCGCAAAAGGGAATATTCTGACATGAAACTAGCGTGTTCTGTCATAAAATCTCTAATTATTCACACACAGCAGCTTGTATTAGGATGACAAACAGACGAGGGGTCGTGCTTCGGGCCGCGAGTGGGTGGGATATGAGTTGCATCGCGAGACGGGAATGCCTCCGCCACATGCTGGATGTAGAGTGCAGAGAAGGGTGGGCGGGCCGCGAAATGTGGGTGTGGCAGAGCCAGCCGGCAGGTGGAGCGGAGGGTAGCGAACGCGCACGCGTACGCGGACGCCGGGCGGTCAGGCGGCCGCTGGGCGGCGGCGGCGGCGGCCGGCACGCCGGCGGCGCGGCGGCTGCGCGCGCGCCGGCGCGTGCGGGCGGGCGGGCGCGGCCGCGCGGCGTGCGCTGCGTAATCCAGACCCCTGTGCCGCTGCCCCGAGGCGCATGCGCTCCCTCAAAGCTCTGCCCCACTCGACGGAGGTCCAGCCCCTCCCCGCCTCACCACCCTGATCCGGACCACGCTTCCCCACCGCCCCACCTCCCGTCACCCGCGTAGCCTCTGCCTCGGCTGCCACCACCACCACCAACGACACCGCAACTACCACTACCTCCTCCGTCTCTTCTACCTCCGTCATTTCCAACTCCTCCTCCTCTACCTCCCACATTTCCACTTCCATCACTCCTGGCCTGCCCCTTCCAGCGCTTTCCGCCCCAAAGGTCGTGCGGCGAAGCTCTTGCGCACGCACGCGCCTCCCGCCCACGCGTGCCGCAGCCCCACGGCGGCGCAGTGCACTAGCCAGGGCTACAGGTGTGGGAGAGACGAACCCTGAAATCCATCCGCCCTCAATGGCCAGGCGGGGCGCCATGTTGGTGGGAGGTCTGAGAGCATTTGCCGTTTATTTCAATGTATTATTGCTTTTGTTTTGGGCGGAAATATACTAGGAGGCAATAATATATTCTAAAAGTTTGATATAAATTGATGTCTTTGTTCTGAAACTGTAAAAAAATCATTTGGTGTATTGCATTGTAGAATTCTTAGAAAGGGAGGCGGGAATATACATTAACGGACTAACTATTCTTTTTACTTCGGTTCTGAACATGGCATACACTAACGCTGGGGGGGGGGGGACAAAGGAACAAACGAGTAACAAAAACTACGAGTAACAAAAAAAGTATCCACTGTTTCTCTCGAAGGCTGGATACGATGCTTATGGGGTGATAAATGGGGATTTTATTAGTTTAGAGATCTGTTAGAACACTAAATGTTTATGATATTTTAAAATTTTGCAACAGGTTGCAGTATCAGAAAACAACAATAAAACACACAATGGATGCAATAACTATTAAAATACTGTGTAGTGTAGGATTGAGTGAGCAGTCAATGTACGTAATAGTTGAATGAGAACAACCAACGTACCCTAATCAGTGAACGAAGCACAGTCTCGCATGTTCGCAAAATGTTCCAGGTTTATCTTTTTCTTTATGATTATTGTCGTGCATTTTCGTCGTGCCGACGGAATATTTCTGCCTTAAATGATTGCGTTTTTGCTTGGAAATTTGGATTACTTGCGCATAAAATTATATTTTAGTAAAGTGGTAACATTGTATTTCT